ATTTTCTAAGGGAGCACAGGTTTTCCAGAAGAACAGGTGTGAAAATAGAAGGAATAAGAATGGATTGGAAAAGGATTACAAACTGAAGAGAAATTAGACACCATCATGTATGTGATGGCGGGACTGGCTCTCATGTCCCAATGGACCTGCACACCTCACAGGCACAGCATAGCCTAGAATCGGGGCTGCAATGGAGAAAAGTCAACTTGATATGCCAGTTGGGACATTCTTTGAATTCTTCAGCTCCTTAATTTCCTACTAAGGCTGACTAGGGTATGATAACAAAACTTAAGAGTGTCTCACAATGTTTACCCTATGCCAATGAACCAGACATGCATGAATAATCGAACAGCATAATGAAAAAACATGAGTCAATGGTTTCTTAGCCTCAACAGACCTTTTACCTTTCTACTCACTAAGCATGAGTGAATTATGGTGGTGTTCTCTCATGTACCTTATCTCTATATTTTAAGTACCATGAAGGTAGAGGTGTAGTTTTTTTGCATTTGTTTTTTCCCCTAATATATGAACAGCACCTTGCTTATAGAAGGCATTTGGTTGATTAAAAAGCAACAACAAAAACAAGACAGATAATCCACAAGCTTGAGGTCCAGATTTTAAGAAAGCATTTTGAGTGAAGGCTCATAAAGGCACTAGAAAGGTGTTTCTTTCCACCTCTCAGGGTCTCTCTATTTCTGGACAAATGTACAGGCCCTAGACTAGGACATACCCATGTACCCTGCCTAGCCAGCAATACTGGAAAAGACAATGTTGAGTTAGTATTGGTCAAGATGAAAGCAGAGGGTCAAGATGGATGCAAGCAAGGCAGAAGAAAAGGCTTTATTTTTGTAAGAAAGAAATTATGAAAGTTACTATATTTATAACTTAGTTTGTGTAACTCTTGACAAAATTTTAACCAGAGCCCTGAAAACTTTCAAAAAATTTTTTTTATTGATTTCAGAGCGGAAGGGAGAGAGAGATAGGAACATCAATCATGAGAGAATCATGCCTCACACTGGGGATTGAGCCCACAACCTGGGCATGTGCCCTGACCGGAAATCAAATTGTGACCTCCTGGTTCATGGGTTGATGCTCAACCATTGAATCATGCCGGCAGGCAAAACTTTATTTTTTTAATCCTCACCCAAGGATATGTTTATTGATTCCCTGACTGGGAACGGAACTGCAACCTTTTAGTGCATGGGTATGACACTCTGAATGATGCTCCAACCAAAGGTCTCATTTCTCCTAAAATGCCTCTCACCCCCCCCACCCCCCCATTCTCCAAACTCGTCCAAGTTTCACCTGGGAAACTCTTAGCTTTCCCACCCACTCTAATCCATGCCTCTCAGGGGTCAGATTTCTAAAACAAAATTTTGATAAAGTCATTATGCTTCTTAAAAACTGTCCTTGATTCCTCATTTCCTGGACTTCTGCAGCTTGTCTTTAGTATACTTATCATCCAAATGCCCAAGACTACATACTTTGTTTTTTTCACAGGTTTATTCTTATTGTTCCCACTTCTTAAATGCCTTTGCCATTGCCGCCTGCTAAAATCTAACCCTCCATCAAAGCTCAGCTCAAATCCCCCCTTTCTAGTAAGCCTTCCTTCATCTCCCCCCATTTTGAATTAATCTCTCCTTTGTGCTCAGTATTTTATAGGTTCTGCCTCTTAGAGTAATTTTGTTTCTATGTATCCCTTTCTTGTTTTGAACTTGAGAACATGGCTCATACTATATTCTCTGTGTTCCCTGCAGTGCCTGGCACACGGTCATGTTAATTTTAATATATCAAATATAGTTTAGTTTATCTCCTAGCTAGTTGAAAGAAGAGAAGAAATCAAACTGGTAGGCAGAAATTGGTGTGGTGGGAAATAGAAATGGGATAAGAGCAACTGAGGGAGAGAAATTAGTACCACATTAGGAAGACCGCTGTGTTCTGATCAAAATCAGCTGATGAAAATCATTTGTTAGTTATGTCATTCACAAATTAATGGTATATTAATTACACTGGGCCCTTGATGTCCTCACTGTGATCTGGAACAATGGCTACCGAAGGTCACCAAGGACAGAAGGGGCAAGTATTCTTCAAGGAAACCAGGAACATGAGGTAAGCTTTTGGACTTGTCCTATGGGATACACTTGCACGTAACCCAAGTGAATTGGCGTTAAAATGCAGCAATAAATAAGCACCTTGTTATGGGCACTGGAGTTGAAATGGTGCATAAACCCAACACTCCTGCCCACCTGGAGCACATGCAGTGCATCTGCTGAAATTAAGCAGCACCTGGGGCTGAGTTTCAGAGGGTCCTAGTGGGACTTCTAGGAGGTTTCCAGCCTTGACTTGACCTGGGCAATTTTTGCCCCCTAAAAATGTAAATCCTCCATCAACAGTGGCTATCTGACTGTGAAGTAGTCTCAATGGGGGAAAGTCCTGGATCAAAAGAATCCCAAGACTGGGAGAAAGAAGTGGATATCTGAATAAGAAATAGGAAATGAGGAGGGTCTGTCAAACAGCAAGCAAATCTTTGGTGATTCAGAAGGATAATCCTCATAGCCAAGACTGCAAGCCTGTACCCCCAGCTGGGGGATTTAGGTGTCAGAACAGAATTCCCATTTGGTGCTCTAGGGCCTGGACATTTGTGTAAGGACCTCAGAATCTGTCTCTGGCTCCTTTTCATGGGGTTGGAAGACATTAGGCAACAGGTACCTTGAAGCCCAATAGGTCCTCCCAAAGCAAGCCACTCTGTTTCCCACCACCAAACCAGTCCAGCACTGGTGCTCTGTGCTTTTCTTGGGGTGCTCCTTCTGCCTGCAATATTCTTCCTTCACCCCATACTCACTGAAGTTCACATGCATATCTTTTTGTAGTACTTGACCAAGAAATAAAGTGAATTGATCATGTAGAATTTTACATGACCAATTGGTTAATTTTCTATTCAATTTCCTTCGAGGACTGTTCCAAACTTCCCCCAGTCTTCACTCTTTCTGCCAACTGTAAATAGAGTGAAGAAATGGTAACTGAAGTGGAAAAAGCACAGGCTTTGGAACTAGACCAATTACAAATCCTGGCCCTGACACTCAAGTGCTATGACTACAGCCGAGACATTTAACTTCTCAGAGCCTTCGTTTTTTCAAATTGAGATAATATGTGACAGATGTTAACTGGAATTACTGTGATGATCATTCTGCAATATATACAAATATAGAATCATGTTGTACACTTAAAGTTAATATGTCAATTTTACCTCAATAAAAAATGACAAAAAATTGGGATACTACCTGCTTTATAAGGATTGTTATGAGGCTTCAACGAGAAAGTTTATATAAATTAGTATATAGGAGGAGTGACCAATGTTATCTAAGGCAGGAGGGAACAGGACATAAAAACATAGGACCATAATACATTAAACAAGAGGTTGAATCACAGTTAATTTATAAGGTTCTAGGTTAGTTGCAGTGAGGGATACAAAAGAAATTACTTCCATTTATAATGAAAATACAATATGTCTAGTATGGATTAAAGTAATTTATTTTGACAATGTTAAGTTAGTTAATAAGAACACTTTACCACTCATTGCATTTTTGTTTACAAAGCCCTGTAAAGATGGTGAAGATTACTTTTATAGTTGTAGCTCTTAACACCATATTATAATAATAAAGCAGAAATATAATTTTATTCACAACGCCAGTGCATTAAATATCTATTTTCCTTCCCAAGACTTTTTCTTATAGGACGATGGGTACACTAACATCTTGCTATGCTGCTTAGTAGCTGTAGTTATTCCTGTTTTATAAAAGAGGAAACAGGTTTAGAAATGTCAGATGCAAGGGCAAGGGAAGGAATTTAATACAGATCATTTACCTTCATTTAAGGCTTATTGGTACCCCAATAATAGAGAGGTAAACCATTTTTTATTTTATTATTATTTTTTAAATATATTTTATTGATTTTTTACAGAGAAGAAGGGAGAGGGATAGAGAGTTAGAAACATCGATGAGAGAGAAACATTTAGCAGCTGCTTCCTGCACACTCCCCACTGGGAATGTGCCGGCAACCAAGGTACATACATGCCCTTGACCAGAATCGAACCTGGGATCCTTGAGTCCGCAGGCCGATGCTCTATCCACTGAGCCAAACCAGTTAAGGCTAGAGAGGTAAACCATTTTTTAAAGAGTAGACTAGTTGTGATAGGAATTCTGGCTCAAATGCTTAGATGATGCCTGTTTTCAGGAGTCATTGCACTACCTTTATTGTGGGCATTGGGCCTTTCTTTACCTCTTCCTTCTCCCCCTTCCAGTTCTTCTCACTTTTTTCTTTCCTGTTTTCCTGTCGTGACCTGATCCTCCTAGCCTTTTGCTCAAGGCTGGATCACACCTTCTTTTTCATTCTAAAGCATTCTGCACATCATAGGATCATTTATTCAACGAAAATTTATTGAGCACCAACCAAAATACATACCAAGCAATGGTAATGGGTGCCGGCAACAATGAAGATCTTACATGAATCACAAATCACACCAATGGCATTTACCTTTTCTCCTTTTTGCCTCTCCTGGGAATTTTAGCTTTTGGATAAATGCCACAATTCCCACTCCCTTAGCACACGTTTGAGTCTCAACTACCTTATACCATGCAGCTCTGAGCCACCCAAGGGCGCCTGTTCACGAGCCAACCCAACCCAACCTGAACTCCAACTCGAAATTTCCGGAAAAGGAATAAAGATCAGAAATGGCATTTTCAGGGTGCTCCCTAGAGCCAACTTCCGCCCACCCAGTACAAACGTAGAGAAACATCCGTAGCTGAGGCCTTACTAAAATTCAGAGAAGACGTCCTACGTCTGATTTCTCACTGAGACATTTGTTTATCTAGGAGGCGGAGATTTTTTTTAAGACAGGCAGAAAAACAACCGGTTATGACAATCAAACGTCTGGAAAGTTCAGCCAATCAGCATGCGGGAATGCCTCCCGCTAGCCAATGGGAAGAGCGCACCGTGCGTACGGCCGCCCAATGGGGGCGCGAGCGGCGCGGTATTTGAATCCTGGAGCTAGGCGACCTCGAAGATCCCAGCGGTGCGGCCTCAGAGTGCGGATCTAACGGCGCCGCGGACCCCTGTGCCCCCCACTCCCGCCGCGTCCCTCCTCGGGCGGCCGGCACGCCTGCCTGGCCGGTCCCTCATGGCGCTACTCCAACGTCTGACGGTGAGTGAGCCCGGCGACACCGACCGGGCCGCGGGCTTCGGCCGCGCCGGCCCCTCGGCCTCGTCTCGCTTCTCTCTCCAACTCCGAGCTTCTGGGGAATAGGACGTCCCCACCGACCCCCCGCTTTCCTCTTCTCCCGGCCCCTCCGCTTCCCTTTCTAACCCCCCGTTTTCCCCCTCTTCCGGCTGCCCGCTGCCCCTGCGGCCTGTCCTGTTCCGCGGGCCTCTCCGGGCCTGGGCTCCGCAGGCCGGTTCCCCGCCCTGCGGGTCTCCGAGCTGGGCTGGGGGTGGGAAGGCCAGGCCAGCCCTGGGAGGTGGCACCTGTACCGGGAGCCGCCGGAGCCCGGGCCTGGCGCCCTGGGGCGACCCGAGTGCTCTTGGTTGCTAGAGAGCTATCGGAACACCCGCCTCTCGGATTTCCTCCCTCTGCTCGCAGACTCCTTACCAGCCAGGGGATCCGCGGTGGGGGTGGGGAGAGGACGGGAAGAAATTCCGTAGACAGTACAGTGTTCTGAATGTTGGATCAAGCTTGACCCCACTGATTTCATCTTTGCAAAAATCCAAGTGTTGATGGTGTTTTGCAAAATTTCCCTGCGGGCTTGAATTGTACTTGGATCTACTTTTCCTTTGCTGCTGAGTTCCGACCTCCTGGCTGTAAGGCTGGTTTTAAAAAGCAGGATAAAAATGTAGTGACATTACTGGGCTTCCACCTTTAAAACGTTGGCAATTACTGTTAGAAAAATTGAACAGTATGACTTACTTTTTTTTTTTAACATGTTTTTATTGATTTCAGAGAGGAAGGGAGAAGGATAGAAACATCAATTGATAAGAATCATTGATGGGCTGGCTGCCTCCTGCACGCCCCCTACTGAGGGCGGAGCTGGAAACCCCAGTGGTGACCTTCGGGTTCATGGGTCAATGCTCAGCCACTGAGCCACACTGGTGACTTTAGAGAATCCTGATAAGTTGAATACATTCAGTTTTTACTTCCCACCCTTTTGTGATCAAAGTCAAACTGATGAGTAATTTTTGTCTAATCTACCCCATAAAGTTCTTTTATAGTCAAACTAGAGGGCTGGTGCACAAAAATTTGTGCACTGGGGGGCGGGGGCGTCCCTCAGCCCCGCCTGTGCCCTCTCACAGTCTGGGACCCCTCCGGAGATAACGACCTGCTGGCTTACGCCTGCTCCCGGGTGGCAGAGGGCAGGCCTAATCCCTAGGTGCAGCCCCTGGTCGGGCTCAGAGCA